GAACCCATACAGCGAATCAATCGGCGAGCTTGCGAAATAGTGTAATGCGATTCAGATATACACCGATAGCCAAGAAGAAGAATGAAGCAAAAGCATACTCAAAAAGTTAGCAAATTGCACACCTGCAGGAACTGGACGCATCCAGAGTTAGAAGAAATCACATAGGAAAGGAACTATTGCGAACCATACCCTCGATACATAGAGCCACATACTCTGGTAACCTTCACTTTGAGGGCTTTGAGGGGACACAACCTTCACTTGGGGAAAAAACAGAACTCATCCGGGGCGAAGCCCCGGATGTTATTATCCTGACTATATCGAAAGAATGTGAATGAACCAAATATAAAAGAGAATATCTGAAGAATATCTCAGCGAAACCGAGAAATTGCTTCTTTAAAGCCTTTTTACGCTGAAAAGAAATTTCTGTGAAAGTTTCCTCAGAATTCAGGACAACGTTCCTCATTTAGCCTCGTACTTGACCAAATAAGTTTCAAAAGTTTGGGAAAGCTGTTGGAGTTGAATTAAAACGAGAAACTGCGCTTAAATGTGCGCAGAGAGTCGCGCACGGAAATGCTGGTCTATCTCGTTAATGAGTGATTTTCAAAGCTTGGGACGTTGTCATTTCTCCTCGTCGTGTCATGACGATCAGAATGATATATAATGTTACAAGGTTTCGTTGCGACCCCGACGAGATCTACGACCAGAGCCAAATGCCCCGTCGGCTCTGGTCTGTCTCCGCTGCTCGTCTGCGTCTCCGCGCGCTGCGCGCTACCTCGCTACCCCAAACGCGGGGCGCGGGGCATTTGGCTCTGGTGCCCTTTTCTCCGCTGTTTCGAATCCAATTTTGACAAGCTATATATCGTTTTGAAGCTCTTGTTCTCTACTTTTACGCTGACAACGTCCCAAAATCACATTTCTTGATTTGAACGAGAAATCCGGCAAAAACCTTGTTTTCGAAAATCTCTTGTTTTTCTTCTAGTTTACCTCTTTTCACACGGTTTTTTCGTGCATTCTATAGATCTTGCTTCTGTTCATAATGCAGACAACCACCCAGCCTTTATCTCTTCGATTATTGTGGAATTTTTTGCGAAAAATCGTAAAAAGTGCGTTTTTGTTTACCTTGTTCTGTTTCAGTGCTTTCGCATCGAATTTTTTGCAGCTTGGGCGATTATTGCTCAGAACAATAAGCGCAACAATACAGACAACGTCCCAGGAAACAGGAACGTCAATGCGGGGGTAAAAATTCAAAGGACGCATCAAAAATCGAAACCCCGTGTTGCGAATTGCTGGTCCTGAAGCGAAAACTTGCACCTTGAAAAGCCGCCAAATGAAAGATTTCAAGCCTCATTGCAGCGTTCTTATCCGGTTTTCAGCAGTTTCTTTCGCTTTCTATATATGTTTTATGTCATTTTCTCTTCTCCGATCTTCTTTGAACAACCTTCACTATGTATGACGTCAGATGTTCACACAACCTTCACTTTTGACGCCCTGTCTCTAGACTATCGAAGGTATGTTGCGAACTGTGGTCAACAGAATGACCGCACGGCGACAAGGTAATGAAATGGACATAAATGTAATGTGTGAGATCAGAATTTCTACTGGCGACAACAGAGGAAAAAGCAAGGAAGACGAAAAGCGTAGCAGGAGCACTCAAAGTAGTATCCTGATGGTTTTGCGCTTCTATAACAAAAGCGGCCAGCGGCGGCTACGGGCTGCTACGGGCTGCCAGCGGCGGCTGCCGGCGCGGTATGAAGGCACCCTTAAACTTCTTGTCCACTCATGCATTCCTGAAAAAAGATCTTACAAGAATTTACACAATTTTTTGGCTTGATACTCTTCGAGCGACAGGTGCGATAAAGTGAGAATGACTCCTCCAGGGTGAAGAGGGTCACAGCGGTCGCAGCCCCTCCAGGGTGAAGGGTGTTCCACTTGGCAGAGAAATTATGAAATGTCGACCGGGGGAGGGAGGGGGGGGGGGTGAGCCATGGTGTTCTCTCATCATTCTTCCTAGTCAAAGTTTATAATTTTCAATTCCGTGCCATCACTGGTTGTCTTTTTCTGAAATGTGAACCGATGTACTGTTGGATTAGCGCAAAATTATATTTCTGATCAGCACCTTGTATTTTTTCCATTTTCTTTTCCTTTTTTACATCACCCTGCCTGTTTTTAAAATTACCATAGAAGATGTGCATGCGAGAACATTTGTTTCAGGAAGAGTTAGACAATTTTCAAACATTTACGAATTTTTTAAAAGAAGAAATTCGTAATTTCTGTAGATGAACAGCAACGTCAGCAAGGGTATGTTTTTGAAACCATCTTGTCCCCCGCTCTTAGAGAATTTATATTAGTTTGTCTGGAGTCTATTGAAAAAGTGTCGGGTGAAGAGTGTGGGTAGTAATTTCTGCATATTTACGAGTTTTTAGGATAGAAAAATCCGTAACATCTGTAGATGAACATCTTGTACGCAGAGATGGCCACCGTTGGAACCGCCTCGTCCTAAGCTTTCAGAAAATATATATTTTGCCTAGGGTACATTGGAAAAAGTGCCTGGGTGAAGGGTGTCCTAATGATTTCTGGAGATTTTCGAGTTTTTAACATAAAAAAATTCATAACTTCTATAGATGAACATCTTGTACGCTGAGATGGCCACCGCTGGAACCGCCTCGTCCTCCGCTTTCAGAAAGTATATATTTTACCTAGGGTACGTTGAAAAAAGTGCCGGGTGAAGGGTGGGTGAGACTCTCATAATGGGAGTGCTCAAGTGGAGGCTTTTTTAGCACTCCCATTATGAAAGTCTCACCCACCCTTCACCCAGCACTTTTTTTAACGGACCCCGGGCAAAGTATATATTTTCTGAAAGCGGAGGACGAGGCGGTTCCAATGGTGACCATCGCGGCGTACAAGATGTTCATCTTCAGAAGTTATGAATTTTTTTATGTTAAAAACTCAATAATCTCCAGAAATCACTAGGACACCCTTCACCCAGGTACTTTTTCTAATAGACTCCAGGTAGTTTGTATATTTTCTGAAAGCGGAGGACGAGACGGTTCCAATGGTGACCATCGCGGCGTACAAGATGTTCATCTACAAAAGTTATGAATTTTTTTATGTTAAAAACTCAAAAATTTCCAAAAATCACAAGGACACCCTTCACCCAGGCAGTTTTTTGGACGGATCTAAAACAAACTGTATATCATTTGAAAAAGGATGAAGAGGCGGTTCTAACGGTGATTACCTCGCCGTAAAAGATGTTCGTCTACAAAAGTTAGGAATTTTTTATGTCAAAAACCCGAAAATCTCCAGAAATCACTACTCACACCCGTCACCAAGCACTTTTTTCAACAGGCTCCTCCCTTCCTATACATGAACAATTCACGCACAAATATCTCCTTTGCTTAACCTTACCTCACTGTTGATTTTTTTTCTCGGCTTTTGGTGAAGGGGGTCACCTTGGTCCCCGCTCAGGGGTGATGAGGGGGTGAGAAAATTCTCACACTATCGCACCTGTGCTTCGAGCCTCTGCTAAATAGTGATTGGGTTTTGAGATATTTTGTTTTTTTCACAGTTTGTCACATGGTCAATTGGACACTCTAATTACTTTAGGGGCTTTTCAAGTAACCCTACACTAAGATTTTGGTCTGAAAAGCAAAGTGTTTTTCATAATTAGTAGGCTAACTAGGCTCTATGCGCAAATTTTCCGAGAAATTCCTGAATTTGCCTGTACTTTCGTCAGTTTTTGCGTTTTCTGTCGAATAATTGTTGTGGGTACAGTAGGTTCAATGAAGTTGATTAGCACACTCTGATTGAGTAGAACTCCAAGATTTTGGTTGTGTAAAGTTACCAAGTAGACTGAAGAAAAAATGCGAAAAGTTAGTTGTCTTTAGCATCACTCACTATACAGGGTGTCCAGAAGTAAGTGCACACATTTTAAGGGCACTGTCCAAGTCAATTTGGGGGGGGGGGTGACATCTTAATGCAGTAGAGAGCGTGGCTTCTCTCAAATTCAGTGGTTCAAGTCCGACCGATAAAAGATGGATCTAAAGCGAGAAAATGGCTCTAAAAAAAGGGGCGGTACTCCAGTCTCGCCTCCTGAAAAGTTTTGTCATGTCGACTACTGCAGATCTACTGTACTGACCATGTCAAAACCTCAAAGCTTGTCAAGGAGGCGGGATTGGAGTACCGCTACTTTTCCCAAGCAATTTTCTCGCTTCAGAATCCACGGTGTCGATCGGAGTCGAACTGTTGAGTTTGTCAAGAGCCGCGCTCCCGTACTACGTTGAGATCCCATCACACTCCAGTTGACACGGGCAGTGCCTTTAATCGCTGATAGCTCTTTTCCCACAAATTCTTTTGCTTAGCTTCAAGTCAGCAGGGAAGGCTTGTTTTAGCATCAAAGTGTAGAGTAAATCCCTCAACTCTCTTCACTGAGTACAGTAGGAAATTTGAAGAGCATTTGAACCACTGATGGCTATATTTTGCCCCAGACTGGATACTCAATGAGCCGAAAGCTTTACCATTGGCCTAAACTGTGTCGCTGACTGCGAATATGAATGCACTTGGCCGTAAAACTATTTTTGGTCATGCCACGTAAGCCGCAGTAATGTTTTACCCAGTGTTTTGAAAACGTTATAAAAACCACTTGAAACGCTCAAAAAACGTGCAAAATGTTGTCTAAAGAAATTAGCATGTCTGAAAACACCTCTGCAAAACTTTTCAGAATCTTTTGAATTTTTTTTTGAAAAGGCCTATTTCATAATGCCGCTGTATGGTGAATTTTCCTCACTAATCCTACAGCAATAAAGAGCGATGAGTGATTCGCTCTATACTGTAAATCTAATATTGAAGCCTGCTCTACCGAATGGTAATGAAGCTAAGCAAAAGACTTTGTGGGAAGAGATCTATTGGATCAGACAGTGTGTACTTACTTTGGGGACACCCTGTATTCAACAAATGCGCAAAATGGGCACGAATCAATCACAGTCTCGGTTGAATTCTTATAGATCTTTGACACTGCATATCCGGAGACAACCTATCTGAGCGGATCCCCTGAGCAGCAGCTGAATGGACTGGTGACGGAGAATAACAACAATGTACGTTTGGATTTGTTTGTTGGCTTGGGTTAATGGGAATTTGCATTTTTTATCAAGGATATCAATGGACTAAGTTGTGAGGAAAATTTTGTATGAAATGTAAGTGCTTATTCTGCTGTTATCAGTCATGATCAGGGTCAAGCAAGGGGTGTGGCGCACGATCGCTGGTTACGACCCCCCCCCTGATTGTCTGTCTTAATAAGACCCCCCCCCCCCCCTGAATTATATACCTAAGATAGCATTACCAGAGTTGAGAAAGAGGCTAGGCACAAGTCTTTCGAAACCCCCCCCCCCCATGAAAGCCCTCAAGCGACCCCTTCTTCATCCTCTTAAACTCTGGACCTCAAAGTGTGACATTCTGGAGGACACTATCTTTTCCTAGAGAGTTTTCAGATTTCTGAGAGCTGTACGCCCTATTTTCTGTGACTGCACTTTGCAATCACACGTAATTTGACGGCTGGTTTTGATCTGAATGGGCATATTGAAAGGGTCATAATTTTCTTATGGGTGGGGCGTTCGGCTCCAAATTTCCCATGTAGCAAGAAGAAGCTATGTGCTCAATACTCATACCAGCAATGGAGCGCTTTCTGGATTTTGAAGGCAAGTTAAGGGGGTGTGCCGCACCCCATTAACTATATCAAAAAAACATTTTTAGCGGACAGTATTTATATGAGTCGATAGCCTATACCTTGTAGATTTCATAGGACTGTTTGGAGCCTGATTTGTCTTCTTAGCTCTAAGTAATATTTGGTGAAAGCACAGCGATCAAAAGCGAGAAATGGGAAAAACGAGATTTTGGTTGGCTTCTAATTCCACAGTTTGCAGGTCTTCTGAAGCGGGATTCCTGGGGTGGACAAAGAAGGAGTAGTGCTTTGTCTTGAGTGCAGGAACGATAGCTAATTCACCTTTGAAACAAAGTTAACCATGTTGGAATTTGACCATTTCATTTAGGTAGCCTAGTATTTTGAATCTTCAGAATTCGCTCATACTTTGTCTACAGGGGTTAATTGACATGCTAATTGTGGATATGATACGAATATCATGTTATCACTATTATCAGATTACCCAACTACGACCCCCTCCCCTTTTCACTCCTCAATACAACCCCCCAGGTGTGGCGTGCCGCACCCCACGCTTGATCCTGGTCATGATCGCTTATCTCGCAAGGGAAGAGGATACCAACATAATCTGGCAAACCAAGGGCCGCATGCACTAACATTTTCGCTGGGGAGGGGATCGCAGCTTCAGAAGAAAGCTTCATAACCTGAAGCTCAGGATATCTGGATTTCACGCTGTCTACCTATCCGTAAGTACTCCCACCATCCTTCACTATGAACATATTGAGCAGAAGCGAGAAGCTGTACAAGCCGCATTTCCCAGCTTTTTGTAGGATCCCATGATGATCCCTGGGGGACTAACATCTATTCTTCAAAGTCATTTTTTTTTCTCCGAAGTTAACGAAAACCTTCCAAAGTTACACTGAACAGCTAACACGACAGTGCTAAGCATGTTGTTGATGAGAACAAATGAATTTTTGAAAAATCGAATTTTTCGGTATACCCCAAATTTCGAGCTGTGGATCATCGAAAATTTCATGACTTCAAAACTTCATTTGTTCTTATCAGCAACATGCTTAGCACTGTTGGGTTAGATAATCTGCACAACTTTGGAAGTTTTTCGTTAACTTCGGAGAAAGAAAAATGACTTTAAAGAAAAGCGCCGGGGATCATCAGGGATCATACAAAAGCTGGAAAATGCGGTTTGTACAGCTTCTCGCTCCTGTTCAACATGTTCATAGTGAAGGATAGTAGGAATACTTACGGATAGGTACACAACATGAAATGTAAGTATCTGGAGTTTCGAAATATGAAGCTTTCTTTCAAGTTGCGACCCCCTCCCCGCGGCCATGTTAGTGCATGCGGCCCCAAGAAAGATGTGTATCAGTAGATGCGCGCGTCTTCAAACGCTAATTCCAAATCTGCGTTTCGTCTCTGCATTACAACTCTTCAAAAGAAGTTATTAGCGTTTTCATGTCCAAATTTGTCAAGCTATAAGCTTAAAATCAGCGCAAAGCTCTACAACAACACTTGTACGGATTTCCACCAGCTCTGTTCCTTCCTTGCAGAACAAGTACTTGATACAGTATTGACCTACTTACAGGCGTTTTTGTACAAATTTCGCTAATTTTATGCCATCTAAGAATTGACAATTTTGGACCTTCAAACGCTCATAACTCCTTTCGGAGAGTTGTTCCTCAGAAACGGAAATCATATTTGGAATTAGCGTTTGAAGTTGCGTCTACTGATACACATCTTTTCTTGGTTTACCAATGCTGGTTCCTTCCCTTATCAGAACTGTCATTCTTATTTGCAGCGCGTTTTAAAAAGTATATATTTTCGCTTTGAGATGCCATCGTTTTTGTACTCCATTAGTAATTCCACAACTGTCTACAAGAAAGTGTGTCACAGAACGGATGCCAGAATAACGCTATACATTTTATTTCAATGCTCGCTTCGATTAAGCATACCTTTCTTCTTAGCGAAAAGTCCGGTGCTCTCGGAGACAAGCGAGGTTTTGTACTGTGCGGGATCGGAATCTTGCTAGGAGCCTAGGGGCTACTGCCTTACTTTGAAGTTTATTTTAAGAGTGGGCTATAAACTTTGCATTTTTAACGTTCCCAGCATTGCGATACCCGAAAATACTGTAGATATCCTCCTACACATAAGTGCGCTGAAAGCTCATCTAACTCCAAAATTATGTGGCTTCCTCAAACTTACTTGAGGACTTGTTGTAAATCATTCAAACGACGATATCTGAAGTTTGAAAACCGCATAAATATCGCAAGAATCTTGTATAGAGAAGTGTTTTGATGTCTATTTACGTACTCCGATCGAATAGTCAAGTAAGGAGAGCATAATTTAAATCAAGAAATGCATGTTGAAACAATCGTCCTCAATATCGAAGTCTGGGATTCCACGCAGTGCCACAAAGGGTTTATGAATAATATTTGAAAGAAGTTCGACGTTGGAAGATTACAAAGTGCATAGCGCACATGCGAGTCCCTCATGGTTAATTTTCAGAAATGAAAACCCGCGCTTACTTCTGTACTTTACATTTAAAACGTAAGTTCAATAGCTGCTCGGTTGCGTTGGTCCCAGTCAGTTAGTTACTCATCGACTTCGCCCTACTTCTTATATCTCGTTTCAACCACTGCTATAAGCGCGGACCAACAGTTTAATTCAAACAATTTTTTATCCAATACTTCTTAAACTTGTCGTCCTTTTGTAGACCTACCTTTCCGGGATTGGGTTTCACATCCGAAACTGCGAAATTTGATAGAGTCCATAGAATCCTTGGACATTCTTTGGCATAATAAACTGTTTGCATAACAACTGTGCGGCAATGTCCAGCTTCCTGATCCATAGTTTGCGGAACTGATTAATCGATGAAAGCTTTTCATGATTGTTTTGATGAATATCTCATTTATAAATCATGTTCACTTACTCCTATAACGTCGCGCTAAAGCTCGGAAACATTTTTATATTAGCAGACACCCGTTCTGACGGTCATGCAACCATTACGGGAATATTGGAATAAGAATGCTGAAGGTAAATTTATACTGAATGCGTCCGACAGAACTTGTTACATTTAGCTGATTTTAGCCTACTATAACTCCAAGATGAAAGCCATAAACAGATATTCCTTGAATGCTGATGAGGTACGTCATAGTTTTTTTCCAAAAATTCTTCTACTGCTGCATGAGTGAGATGCTCTAATGTGTTCTTAGTGCGAAACTCCAAATATGAAACAAAAAATGGTTTGTCCTAGTGCGGACTACACTTATATAAGCTCGCGAAATTTTTGAGATTTACTTACACGGACTATACAAATATGCAAGTGACTTGTTTATTCTTGTAAATATTAGGTTGCCCAAAATAATTTCAGTCGTTTTCAACGGTCTGTAGAAATGTCACAGATAAGTCCATGTACCAGTGTTTGGTACCCTTCGAAAGAGTAAATCAAGAAGAATTGGACGGTTAATCTCCTTTGCTCAAAAAAAGTTTTTTTCATTGCGAAATGGCGCAGGAATGCGAAAAAGCCATTTTTCCAATTTCTAAAAAATCATGCTCCAAAAACAAACTGAAATTGGATGTATCTGCACGAATGGGTCGCACACATACGAATTTGATAGATGACCCATTCTTATGGCCATAGGTGGCCAAACACAAGCGTTTTGAATTGCCCCAAAACTGACTTTCACGCGCAAATACCTGTGAATTCTCACATTTTTGGCTGTTGAAATAAATAAACAGCGGTTTTGCCATATAGCCAAAGGCCGTTGTATTCAATCGCCAAATTACTCGCCTGTGCACTCACTACAAGCTGAGAACGAAACTCGGAATGTCAAAAAAGTGAATTTTCGAGAGGCTAGCCATACAAGGTCATAACTATCTTTTATCACGTTTAAGAATTCTGTGTGATGATTATCTGGTAGTACGCACTGATTTCCCCGGAAACTAGCTCTCGGAATAGGGTAAAACTTACGGTTATATTTACAAGGACTTGTTGAAATTTACTCATGTAATCAATTTCTCAATATCTAGTCATGGAAAAAGTACAAATAGTTTATATGAATGTGTCGAAAGCGCATATGTGTGCGGAAGGTTCATAGAATTTTTTTTTTGAACGGACCGATTTAGTTCTCATTTTTGGGCCTCTGGAGGCTTTAAGGTATTGGTTCCAATCTTTCCGTATCATATTTGAAGCAAAAGCGTAATTGTCAGCTCGTAGAGGTTGCGCTTTATCAAACAGTATCCCATACCCCTTTAGGGTGTGCCCGACAGCAAGCATTTGAAAAGCGCCATTATTTTCTTAACAACAATTAGAAGGGGTTATCCCCATCTCCATTTTATCCATTTCAGTGCTCTTCCGAACCCAGCATTTCATGATTTATTTACTTCTTCCATTTCATAAGATTATAAGCATTTTTTTCTTCCCATATTAGGAGCGTGAAAAAAAAAACGACTTGAAGTTGCGCCTCTTCTCTCTCCTAGACCCCCCCCCCTCCACCATATATAGCACAAATGGCTCAAGCATGAGATCCGGCTGCGAGATTTCCTGGAAAGCTGGAAATTGAAACTTTCTTGTTATATTTTATCATTTCAGTCTGACTCACACCAACAGAACTGTCTTAGAGAAAGATCAGCGGGAATGCAATCTACGGGCTCTCTTCGTCAGAAAACTGCTTCAAAATCAAGAACTCGACGTCCTGCTGTAAGCATATCCTTCCATTCGTATGAGTGACCGTTGCTTCAATACATGTGCGATGGAAAAGCTGTTTATATATCTAGAAGTCTCAACCATCGTCACATAATGGCAATTCCAGTGAAAAGATGAAAAAACGTGCACGTAAAGTACGTTTCTTGTCTTTGTTTGAAAACATTTAAACATTTAAATTTTTGAACGGAAAAGTGCCTCGTACGCCACAGGTCGGGTTTTCTTTCTAGCTATGGTGATGGGTCTGTTACTGGGAAACGGCCATTGTTGCTAATACAGTAATGTGGAAGATTGAATGTAATCAGCGAACAAGTTAAAATAACCTTGGATGAGCAACGCACTCCATCTTATGGAATGCTTCTCAACAACTTAGCAGGCCCATAACCCCAAAGAAACATCTTTTAAAAGCTGACTTGTATTTGTGAAAATTCTCAAAGATCATTCCTAATTGATCACAGGTTTGAACGAGTCACTCGCACATTTTTACAGCTCAAGTGAGTTACTTTCAAAATTTCGCGAAATTTTAAAATTAACTCACTTGAGCTGTAAAAATGTGCGAGTGACTCGTTCATACCTGTGATCAATTAGGAATGATCTTTGAGAATTTTCACAAATACAAGTCAGCCTTTAAAAGATGTTTCTTTGAGGTTATGGGCCTGCTAAGTTGTTGAGAAGCATCCCACAAGATGAAGTGCGTTGCTCAGTCTGGAAAAAATCTTTCCCCCCCCCTCTCCCCGAACGGGAATTCTGGATACGCTATTGCCTAGAGGTTATGCAGAATTCCGCCGTTGATGCAGTTTGGATCCGCTGCTTCCAAACCCAAAAGCTTCAAGCTATTTACAGTACATCGCTCCGCTGCAGGCTGTGGATATCAGTTTGATTCCGTTCGGTTTTACTTTCGGTGTGATTTGGATTGCGTTAGCAGTCTCGGCTCTTTTATTTAATACTGTACAGCGGAGAAATTATCGGTTTGGTTCCAAACTGGACCAGAACATGAATTAAGGATCATCTGTCATTCTAAAAGAACTTCTACCGTTGACTCTTACTGAATAATATTCAACACAACTGTATCACAGCAGGGGAAGAGTCTGCAGAAAATTCATGGGGTCATTAGGTGAATTGAACATATTGCACGAACTGTTTACAAAACCCTGATTGTAAAGGCATTATCGGATTGATTTACGATTTTTTTTTCAGGCGAATAAAGGCGCAGTAGCATACAGAAATCCTTCGACAATCCCTGATAAAATGAAGCAACTGGCAAGAATTCCGAAAAAGTCGTTAGTAAGCAAGGTTGGGACAGATTACACATTATGGACGTCATTCGCGACCAGAACCAAATTACAGAATTACTTTGCATCTAAAATACGTGATATGGAATCCTGCCCTCGGATTGTGAAATGCGCTTTTCCTGTGGGTTAATTCAAAAGTTTGAAATGTTCTCCTCAACTTTTGTTCTGATAGGGATGCCACAAAATTTTGCGCCAGCCGCACAAAACTCATATTTTGAGAGAACATGCCCGACTTCACTGGGGGAAATGTGTATTTCAGTGCCAACACTGTGACGTAGCGCTTCTGACCATTACTCAGGTAATAATTCAGTGCTTGTTGATTCCTGATGTTACGATTTCTTTCTAGTACCGCAGACATTACCTAAAGTTCCACCCTAAAGTGGCAAGACGGAGGGAGACATTACTGGAGTCAGCTAAGCCATGTTTCCTAGCTTTGGTTGTCGTAGGCAGTATGATATTCCAGATCTGCTGAACAGCGTGAAGAACTCAAAGCTGTCTGGAAACGCTGTTTTAGTGGTTTGTTTTTTGAGCTGTGTTCCAAATACACATAATTTGTCAGGTCAAGTCTATGCATACTATCTTGTGAGCCTCCAGTTACATGTGGACGAGCTAAAATTTCGACTCTTCACTCTTTGTACTGAATGAAAGCGAGCGGGTTGAGATCTCGCATTTGCTACTCGTTTTAAAAGGTTCAATGCTTCAGAGAAAAAAAAACAAGCAAAGTGAGATTCTGGTTGTAGCCCCTGTCTTTCTGAACACATATTGTAAATGGAATTAGAGAATCAATACGGCGCTCGCTTGAAACTGTTGACTTCACCTGCCTATCACAAAGCAAGCCTCTTCTATCGTCTAGAATTTCGGATTTTTGGCTTTTAACTCATCAGATTAGCTGCCTCTATTGAACCTTGCTTTGAAGCTTAAACGCGGAGTAGTCGAATTAAGAAACAATAGAGAGCTGTGGATAGAGTACATGTATGTTATCACATATACGTACCGGAAGACGGCAAAATTTCAATTATCATAAAATTCAGAGGCACCGTCCACCCTAACAACAAGTTGAGCGTCTTGGATTTTTGGCAGCATATGATAGTAGGGCCCCCTATCAAACCAATGCCCAAGTCGCGGCGCAAAATGTCGCTTCGGAAGCGAGAAAGCTCCTCAATAACGAAGATGCACGAGGACCCCCAGACCGCACCGCCCTTCTCATCCATGCCCGCCCACCCGTGCGCGCTTAGCCAATCACCCTACCGATAAGCCAGCCTGCTGGTTATCCGGAACGGGGATTGTTGTGGTTTTCGCGGATTCTCAATTTCGTATTCGGAATCAGGAACACGAGAAGGCCGCGGAACGATCAAAACATGGAAGTCGAGAATCTTGGTGGACGTTGCCTTAAAGCGAGCAAAATTACGATTGCTTTTTCGACATTGGCGTCTCCGGAAGCGCAGTGCTGGACATTGAATTTTTTTATCAAGAAGAAGTAATTAGAAAGCGCGCGAGAAATCGATCTTGGAGTAAAGATTGTTACAGAGAGTAGAAGTTTACGAAAGAAGTTCACGAAAGAAGTTCACTAAGTGAATACGATTTCTCGTACGTTCACTTAGTGACATTTTTTGAATCATCATCAATTCACACAAACAAGGAACACTTTTTGAAAAATGACTTATTATCGGTGGGGAGGATTTTCTCAAAATATTCTCTATATTTTCTGCCCATGGATGGCGAACTTATTTCACGTTGTTCCCAACGTCTTTCAATAAACCAGCTTTGGCAAAACCCCTAGAATCATGCGTTTATACCGAAATGGATGACTGGCGGGAATCTGTAATTATCGAGCGAGAACTACATAGGAATGGAGTTGCCAGTCAATTCTTGAGAAGGAGGACTAAGGCCCGTATGCACGTACATCCCCGCGGGGAGGGGATGTGCGCTTAACCATTGAAATGATCCCCGCTGGGGATCCCCTCCCCTCCCCGCGCGAACCCCCGTATGCACAAAGACAATATCGTACAAGGGATCCCCTGTGGGGAGGGGAAATGAACCCTCTTATGCACAAGAGGGGATCAAGCGGGGAAATCACCTTGCTTTTAAATTTTCTATGAAAAACTCTTTCTTATTTCATATTTTGACTGCAACTCATCTTCATCTCCTCACTTCAATTAATTTAGGGTTGCGGAATGTGCATATGCAGTGACTGCGCTCGGGGCGCTAAAAATGATTTTTTCTACTCCCATTATGTTCCTGCTTTCTTGGATGCTGCCCACTTTCGTTCATGCTGCTCCATTTCAGCGTCAAAATGTCGAACTATAGAAGTTGATGTGTCTCTGCAAGGGAATGGGTAGAAGACGTTATGCTGCCGAAAAGGGGGGGGGGTGCCGCGCGGACGCTCAAAGCAGTATTCTAACACATAACAGAAGCTGCAAGTTGTGCCAGCTCTCCATAAACGTTGTAACTATCAGCTGCATATCGTCGTTTATCCCAGGGGAATGATCCCCAGCAGCCATCCCTGCTATGCACAAGGGGAACGCTGGGGAGGGGATCACTCCCCAGGGGGTTTCTACTCAGAACGAGGCAAATATGCTACTTTCTAGATTTTTTCGAGGCAGCTTAAGTTAAAAAAACAAGATAATGGCAACATGTCATGAAATATGAAAGTTACTGTGTGTTTATTCAGCCTATATAGTTAAAACTATTATGTTATATGAAAAATGCGCAAATTTCCTGAATGATCAAGAACTCCTACAAATAATCGAAATTGGCAGCTATTGTTGCTCGGATTTCTTCTCAAGAGGCGAATATAGAAAAGAAAAACAAATTGCAAGCCACAGGTCGCTGAGAGAAGAACCCGGCTTTCAAAGAAAATCCTCCATCAAAATGAACGAAATGCTTGGTAATGACTGAGCAGAACCAGAATATCCGCGTCTCTAGCATGAACTACACCATCGAACCCCTACTTCGTTGCAGGGGATGTCGATCCCCTCCCCCGCGTTATTGAGTTGAATTCGCGCATACGGGGTTCGAGTGGGGAAGGGAAGGGATCCCCTCCCCCATTCGAACCCCGTATGCACTGGGGTTCGCTCGATCAATACCTCTGAAATCATTCACACCATCCCCGCTTAGGTGCAGGGGAGGGGATCGCTCCCCTCCCCTCTGTCATGGCGGGGTTCGGCGGAGGGGATCGTTCCCCTGGGGATCCAGCTCCCCTCCCCTCCCCAGCGGGGACGTACGTGCATACGGGCCTAACATTCGTAAAGCACAGAATTCGAGTGTCGATGAAACCAACAAATCACTTGATTTCGGCTTGGCGCAGTTCCGAGCACACCGGTTTACTCTTCCTTGAAATAAGCCACTGAAGGACCTTCTTTCCTTGCTGAAATACTTAGAAATTTTTTAGAGTCAAAGGATGTTGTAAGTCGAAGAGAAGCAAAATTGATGGACCTACCTAAGGTATTCTCTAAGTCATTTTTTCAATAAGTGTTCCAAATTGATGATGATACAAAAAAGTATGGCACTAAGTGAAGTTCTTTTGTGACTTCTAGAGCTCTCTGTAACATTTTCTACGCCAAAGCCGATTTCTCGTACGCTATTTCCTTCTTTCTACTTCTTGATGAAAAAATTCAATGTCCAACACTGCGCTCGCAGGTCTTGCTGTGGAGATGCTAATGTCAAAAAAGCCATTGTAATTGTGCTCGCATAGGCAGTGGCTCGAGAAAATTGCAACTGCGCGCTTTCTGTTCCTTCTTTGCCTTGTGGATGCGTAGGAGCTGTGCTTGAAAAAAGTGCTTTTATGGCATTCTCCGGACTTGCTCCAGACTTGCAGATTGCTGAGGAGGCTGGAGCGGAGAGTTACGCAGCCGAGTCGCGATTGGCTGCTTGGGCCAAAGCTAGAACGTTCATCTTGAAATCCAGTTGAAATTAAAAGCCACACATTTTAACAGCATAATGAAAGTTTATACTGTGAACCAGATAGTACAGTAACAAAAAACTTCAAGAGAGCACTGATTTCCAATAAATAGAATACGTGCAATATGCGAAGTGTAGTGCAATTGCATGAAATCACGTCGGGGGTGCACGCCTCCGGCGACTGAGCGACTCACAAGGGAATGGTCAGAAGTCGAAGTGGCCAATCTGTACAAGCTGCATACCGTTCGATGCAGCATAGAATGCTGATTTCAAATCTGTCTTCCTTATCTGCAGAGCGCCTTTGTAGGCGAAGTTATGGGCAGCTTTACTGCGAAAAAATTGTAAACAAAAACTGTGAAGTTAGGCACATTATTACTCTTTGAGCTCACTTCTAGGTATGGGTCATATGAAGTGATCTACTTGCACGTTTCGGTCCGACACTGAGCCGAGGATGGCTTTGTACGGCCAAGTTTGCACTTTACACGCACAATTTCTCAGCAAAATAAAGGCCTTCAAAGGCTTATAATTTCGTACACAAGAGCGCTCTGCAGATAGGGAAGACAGATTTAAAATCAGCATTCTATGCTGCATCGAACGGTATGCAGCTTGTATGGATTGGCCACTTCGATTTCTGACCATTCCCTTGTCAGTTGCCGCGTCCAGTCGCCACTTTCGTGCAAGTCGTCGCGATTGGAGATCGCAACGACTTCGTCGTGTGAACTCTGCCAGGCCCATAAAGAACACTTTTTTGACTTTTCGAGCACAGCTCTGTCTCAACGGATCCAGAAGGCAAAGGAAGAACAGAAAGCGAGCAGCTGCAGTTTTGCCGAGCCACTGCTTTCAACAGCATTTTCTTGCGGACTTATAGAGCATATCGAGATTAGAACTGGCTGGTGGTTTTTTTGTCAGCTTTCTTCTCTCTGTTGCAGAGATACCGTACGATTGATCCATGCAAGAGGAATATCGAAAAGAAGTTATCATTCAGCTATGAAATCCCTCAACTCCGAACTGCAAACATTATGGATAACGACCTCAATCCATTCTCTGTTTCACATTGGCATGTATTAGAGTCACTTACATGTTGACTGACCATTGCAAACAATATCTGTTTTCTAATAATCAAATTCGTTCATTGCATTGAAAGCACTCTTCTTCCATTATAGTTTTCTCTGAAAATTTTTGCATGCTTGTTTCGCTGCACTATTAGATCTGCGTTTCGGCAGTCCTGTCTTTTTCAGCAGATGAAGGCTACTGTAACAATTATAAATCAACCTTTTCTGCTCGACACGGCTTGGCTTACATCTTATTATTTTTCATGATAATGCAATATACGAGATCTCTTGAGACACTTATCGTCTAAGTAAGGAACTCAGCCACATATTCTACGTATAATACCTCGAGAAGCTGCAGAGCTTTTTGTGTAAACAGTTGGACCAATCTGAAACTTCACTTCTTCCTGTCACTTTACTATAACACATTCTATGTTACACTTTTCAAATTTTTCCATATATTCACAAAAAATAACCAACGAATAACTCAGACTCTTTCCTAACACTAGCATGTTTTTCTTCTTATTTGTTGTATGTTCATTAGATCTTTAGATGATCATGCGCTGTTTCTTTCGTTAATACAACATTGTTTGTTTTTATGTGCTCAATCCGATGATTACATCCAAGTTGTTGTACTTTATATCTTCTTCCTTCGTATGTCTTTGATTGCTGCTCAATCCGGCGATGGATTCTGTTGCAAAAATTTAGGTTACCATATCATTACCTGTTATTTGAAGCCATGCGAGGCCGTATTCTTCCGGCTGTAGACGGTTCTACCGTACGCAGTGTCTCTTCGTACGTACAGATCAACATCTATGATACGACATTGAAAGAACTCCACACTAGAGGAGTGGACATCGAGCAAATTTTAGTGGGTCATGCCTAGGAGATTTGTTCTTTTATATACCTTTAGTATTCAGCAACGCTCTGGCTGTCGTTCCATCATAATGGACGTACCCATAATATCCGCGGAATTGAGAAAAGTGACAAAGAATGGCAGATGCCGGCCCAGAAAGTTTGGAAGTAATTCTCCCGTCCTTGGCGCTAAGGTTCGCTTCATCTTATTACATTCTGATTCTAAGCAGTAAATAAGTTGTAGTTGGTTTTCCTCAGAGACCCCACTCAGAGTGTAGCTATGTTGAAAACGATGCGGTATCTGTAAACTATGGTGAGAATACGCGCAGATCAGTGGTACAAACTCAGTCGGAGGAGGTGTTATTTGACAATTATTTTGAACTCCTTATAAAACTCCGCATAAGAAATTACAGGAGTCTATGGACTGCAGAGAAAATCTCCATTCAACATCTACGAATGCTGATAATCGTGGTTTGTTTTGCCTTTCAGCCTCATATGGTGGCGCAAGACATGTTACGTTTCATTGTTTCAGGCCCTCTTACGTCCACACCTGTCCTAAGCAAGCACAATTACAACGACTTTTTCAACATTGACATTTCTACGGTAAGATATTTGAAGCCATCGCAGTATCAACCATAAAATCTTTTAAGAAGGAGGGAAAAAGACGAACCTGAATGAAAAATAGTGGTTTTGAGTAGAAAATGCGGTTAAGAGAGCTTCAATAGCGATCAACTACTTTTTTCCAAGTGTTGCAGTTTTTTTTGCGTCATCATCAAAAACAGTAATCAGGGCTCGGCATGAGGTGGCTTTTTCATTTTTTCAAAAACGAAGTCCCTATGGACTTCGGCACAAAAATACGACATCACCTATGACGCGATCATGAACGGATAGAACGAATAACGAAAGATAATGGAGCAAAACATAAAAGCAACAGTTTTAAGCTGTAAACAAGTCTTTTGTTTATATCGGGCAGGTCTTTGAATTCGCGCGCTCAAACGGCGAACCTGTTGGAACAAGAATTTTTAGGGTTTTGCAGGAATGGGATCGATAGGGCAGAAATGACATTTGCGTCCTCTATAGAAGATGAAGGGTAACGTAAGAGGGGAAAGTGATTGTGGTGGAGGAGGGCGGGGGGGGGGGGTTGGGGTTTCCGCTTCAACGATATTCCCCTTGCTTTTTATTCCAAAACGATATCCAGCTGGTCCCGTATGCAAATTTATTAGCCATCATGGTAATGAAGAATTTTTTTCTCCTTTTCTCCACTTTTTGCCCCTGACTGATGGCGTATGTTGCTTTAGGTTGTACCCGATGCCTCTTTCAAATATGAGCTCCCGACGAAACCCGTGGATCCATGCGTTTATACGAATACAGACAACTACTACGAACCGTTACTTGTCAAAGAAGAACCATATACGAATGAGATTCTCAATCAATTTTCAAGGCCAATCGGGAGTTTTGAGGCAGTCAAACAGCCTGAAACTGAGAACGTTCATGAAGTCAACGTATTACTTGATCGAACTCTCCATAACAATGGCTTCGAAGTGGAGGACACAGGATTCCAGTACGATGCTAACGAAGCTACCGGCAATGGGAGATTGTATGATAACATAGCGAAGCTTGGAAATGTTGAAAGCCACAGAGAGCCACAATTGAGCAAGAAATCACCAATGACACAGCACAAAGTTATCCTTGACTTGGACACGCACAAGGTATACATATCTTCGTTTTGCATATAGTTCGGAAGGAAACGGAATTAAGGCTGTGACTGATCATGTCGTGGCTGATGAGAAACTGACGAGCAGCGCTCGATCTTTTGGCAGTGGCTTTCACGCGAGTTCATTTCCGCATGCCAACGCTTGCAAAAACTCTGGATGCCAAAATACTATCGATCCTAAGGTGTTTCCGAGTTAAAATTTTGCTTCATCCAGCAAATTTACATCAACGAGCAGCAAGCGTGTTACAGGAGTGTTTAGAAACTCAAAACGACTCAAAACATAATTCAACAATCACAGACAAGTTGTGTGAAGAAGAACGAACAATTAAGTGCCAGATCCCGGTATTTTTAAAACTTTTAAAAATAGTTTAAGGATCAAACTGTTTAGATGTGTCACAAAACCTTGGTTTACCGTCGAAAATACGGCAAAAGTCGTCTTGTTGAACATGTTCGAACACACTGGGAAAGACCAGTGAAGAAGTGTAAATTGTGCGACTTCAAAGCTTCGTCGGCTAGAAAGGTACTACTACTATATACTTACATTTCTCTTCGTCTCTCTTGAACTAAACAGAGAACTTGATTACCGTATGTATACAGTTGCGAAATTTGAGGGGAATACGGGAGAAGGAGCAGCCGCTGCGCGGCAAACAGACTGCCAAATTGATTGCAAATTTTAAAATTTATCTTCATGTTCTTGCCAGTGTATTGAGACAGTAGTTCATTTTTGTGAAGACCAGTGGCGTACCCAGGATATCCGGGGGGGAGGCGGAAATTTTTTCTGAAGGTGCGTAGCGTCAGCCGCGCACTCCAAGAAATTTTTCTGGCACTGCCTTGAAAACAACGCTGATTCCCTGATTCCCTGGGACCTGTCATGGATCACACAAAATGGTAGAAATCTGTTTGTATGGAAATGTTCTGGGATCCATTATGCTCAGCAGTCAGGGTAAAAGCACATTATAAGATAGATAGAGAACAAAGCAACGAGATATGAGGGTGTCCCTTCTCAGATCCCCTCCTTTCCCCAGCGGGGATGTGCTTGTGAATGAGATAATGAAGACAAAAATTTGCACACATTTCACGATTAGTATTCATTGTAAATGAATGCTTATCGGCCATTGTTGAGCTACTATGTAACAACTTGCCACCATTTTATGTAAGAGGAAAAGTTTTAAAGCAGGGTCCGACAAAAATCGTCCTCTTGGCTTCTCGAAAACAAAGTCACGATTTTTCGAAATCTAAAGGTTACCTTTTGGATCACTTCCATTTTTCATCTTTTTCAATTCTATGTTCGCGCTGGGTACGAAAAAGCGGTAGAACCTAATTAAAATGACTTGGAACTTTGTGATAGCCGATCCAGGCAATAATAAAAAAATCAGTTTATTCCAAGTGCAGGATTCATGAATGATTACGCAAAATGTGTAGCCCCTTTTGCTGGACGCGATAACAAATTTGATCCAGCTTAGAAATCCTACAGGGAGGAAGGGCACACTTTTGGTCGTTTTTTTACAGAAGAAAGATTTTTAACAGTGTAGGAAATCTATGTCGAAAACTCAGGCTCTAGCATGAAGCCCATACTTTTTGTCAAAATGTTCACAGATTAATCGCTTCCTGCAATAATCAAATTCATGCTGAAGCCTATCCCATCATGATGTCATGCCATATGAATGACAGTCTCTTAGGTAAATTACCATCACAAATTTTCACATCCAAACCAACCTTTCACGGGATCCGTGTCATTGGAGTAAGTTTCTTATTTTATCTATCATAGACATTCATTGAACATTTAGGTCTAAAGAGGATTTGGACGAACTCTTAGTACTGTGGCAACGATGTTTTCCAGGTGTGCAAATAAGTTTCGCCGTACCTCTGCATCTTTCAAATGCCTGAGGTTCATTTTGATCTGGAATTACCTGAGGTTTATTTTGACCTGTACTGACTAACCGTAGAATCTTTTAACGGTGGTCAGCGACAAATGTGCCTTGGCCTGCCGCAACGTTTTCCTCTACACCGAAGGGCTCCAAGTTTTTGGGGCGTGGTTTTGGACTACCGAAAACGCACAGCAATAGGCTTTATGTGCAAGTTGACTGTTGGGGCTGCTTCAAGTAGACTCTCGATACTCGACGCATATCTTGATTGTAAACTTCACATCAATTTTATTATAGAAGCTTATTTCACCAGAGGAAAGGAGGGATGATTTTTGAATTGAACTCGCTAACTTTATCAAAATGTTAGAAACTGACGCCGTCTTCTTAGATCGTTCACCGGACTTCTAACATATATAGGTTGAGACCACTGATCTAGTATCTGCTTTAGGGCACTATAATGAATGCATGCATCCACGGTGAAGTAACGCAGTGATTAGACTGCATCCCGGGCAATATGTTTGGGATCAGTGGAGAATATCGGTGATCCCGGACAAAATCTGAAAAAAACTAAATTAATGCATTCAAAAACGCGCAAAAGTGATATGATAAGTTTCGGTGGCTATCAAAGGCATGCTTTGAAACTCTCTGCTCAAACATTTTTGCGGGGCGATACAGATAAGATCAAAAGCTCATAACGAGCAGCAATCATCACTGCTTTCATTGTGTGTTGGTCTGCGCATCTACTGCATTGTTTATGCTGCGGAATATGAAAAAAATCAGCACTACCACCCGTGGCATTGTTTGAAGGCATTGAGAGTGGCTTGGGAGATTTGCGACTGCGGCTTTCCACAACTACATGGCCTTTTGGATCCGCTGAGTCTGAGACTATGTTTGAAAATCAAAGAGGTGCTTTTTTGGCGTTTTCCGGCCCTGGAGACTGCTGAGTGGCTGAGGGAGAGGCCGCCAAAAACAGCGACTGGATGCAAGAGTCTGTAACTCCACCGTTGCCCCTAATTGGCTGATGGCTCACACAGCCAATCGCGACTCATTTGGCGGGGCCCGGCCAGCCGCTTCAGTAATCTCCAAGGCCAAAACGCCAGAAAAAACACTTTCTTGAGTTTTCAAGAACAGCCCTGGATTCAGCGCCTCTAGAAGGCCAAAGAAGGATAGAAAGCCTGCAATTGCATTCTTCCCGAATCATTGACTTCAAGATCTATTTCGGGACGAAGACGCACAACCAAGGGCTACGAACGCAGCAGCTACCCACGGAGCATTTGAGGCAAAGCTTACTACGACATACGTCTGTCTCAACTGGAGTAAGCAAAACATTTGAAGTGCAGTAGAGCATCCGCACCGCTGGGGAATTTGCGAACACACAGCGCTGGCATCTTGCTAAGCAAAGACTGTGGCGAATGAAGAGACGCAGACTTGGGTTCTCAGCACGAGATGCTGTACTGTAGCTGTGGACCGTTGCGAGGCGGGCACCCGCGAATCCTAAACTGGATTAAACTTACTGCACCTGCATGCGCGCCTCAGTACCTACTCAGCTTATCTCGTCGAGCCGCTTTCGCCCGATGAGAAACTTGGGGACGGATTCAGCGTTTCCTTTTAGAAAGATCACTGTCTTAATACCATCCGGATAGTAGTCATCCGACTCCCACGCCTCCTCGCGTCAAGCAGGGACGACCCACGCAAACAAGGGGAAAATACGAAATTGGAAATTCTTTAGGATGATAACTTCCACTGCTGCACTCTGTTACTTTGCCAGCGATTTTTCGTCTGATTGACACATATCTTTCTTTGATTGCAGGCCACAAATATGAATTTCCAAAACAACATGTAACCGTTAGCATTAATGGGCAGCGCAGTGAATGTAAACCATTGTGAGGTGCTGCTAATTTGACAACAATTTATTGGCTTTTGATGTGAAATCTAATTGGAAGCGATGAAAATGTAGTAAGCAGATCCTTCTTTTCGGTCATTATGTGCGATTGTGTTACTCATACTCTGATCTCTATCGAGTTTGTTATGCGAATGTTTGCTGTGTGTTTTGGCGAACATGATATCCAATCAAGCCATCTCTTAATCCGCGAACGCTCTAAAAATTTGCTTGCGACATCTTTTGTTTGCCTTTGTGAAAATTTTTGATCAGGTTGGGAATTAATGGCGAATTGCCCGTAAAAGTTTCAAAAAAGAGCAAAACTCTTTTTACATACCTTACACTTGAGCCATTAATCGTCCTTGTCGGAAGTTACGGTTGACAAAACGAGAGAGAACTATCTGATAGCCTTTCATGTGTCAATAGAAACAACGTAAGGACAACGAAACGTTATGTGTAAAATTTACAGTATCCCTCCCTTGTGTAGTAACGTAGAGAAACTGTTGATCCAGTTTCGGAAAAACTTAACTAGTTTTTTTTCTGCATGGCTTCCTTTTATATGTTTCTATTGAAAGATTCAAAAATTACTTTGCATCTTTGGCAATTTTTTCTGCGTTGACAGTTTCGCAAATCTTTAGGCATCATTCTCAGGATCGCAGATCGCTTTTCACTGCCGTAGCTTTATGGTAGGATCTTCTAGTGACGACGTTACGGTATATCAGCTACCATTGTAAACTGATTTAAACATTGTCATAGATTTTTCATACTTTCCAGCAAAACCTGATCTGTATGACCGCCCAAAATAGATTAATTGAGAAACAGCCCTTATGTGCTGGTGTAACAAGACGAATAAGTTTTGAGTTCGAATTTCGTCTTCAAGTCGGCGAACATGATTGGCCCATTAATTGTGTTGCCAGTTTGAAGCATGTCCCTTATTTCTCACTATGTGCCAACCGCCTTGAGAATCTAATCTTAGTGTAGTTCCTTGATGGTCCGCTCCACACTGTGAGTATAGGTTGACGCCAAATTTTTGAGATTATTTTGGGGATGGGAATTCATGATAAGAGAAAGAGTTACGGTTGTGAACAACGATCAAAACGTTGGTTGTTTCTGGGGTACCCTGTGGTTGGCAGTGGTTGGCAGTGGTTGGCAATGGATGTTTCTTAGCCAAACTTTTTTCGTCATGTGAATCCTGCCACAGTCTGTATTATCCTGCTCCGCTTGATTACAGTGGCCCGATCTGTTTTTGGATGGACGCAAGCTCGAAAAGCACACAGTAGGGAGTCATATAGAACTATGATCGTTTCCACGATTCGTATAGAGGCGGGTTGCTGACTTTCCCTGATTTTAAGGATGGACTTGTTAAACCTTCACGCCACAGCATGGTTTTTCTTACTCCCTCGCCATCAAAAACCGCTTTGAGTTGGCAAAACCCCACCTCTATACGAATCGTGGAGTCGATGATAAGTCCACATCATTTTGCCATTTTTGGTGAATACTATATGAATGCATCTGAAGGCTAAGCTGAACTTTCTTCTAGGGTTTAGGCATATGTAGAGCAATATAGCGTGCTAAGTTTTTTTAGGAAGCAATAAATCAGGACTAAATAATCACCCATGTAAGAAAAAAGATGCGTATGCGCATTTAATCTTCTAACTATTCGTGTTTGTCTAGGTGCCATGGAGGATAAACATATTGGTGGACCTCTTCCTAAGATTCTTAGAAAAGTATATTGAACGTACGTCCTTGCACCAATAAACTAGCAACGACAGCTTCCATGCACAGCTCATATATTCCACTCCTCTTTCTCATCACTACGTCTCTGCTAGAATTTGCGCTTACCCAAAAAAGCTTAGATAAAAGTTTTGTTTTGAAGATTTTGTTCAGAAGAATGTTTTGTTTTTTTACAAAAAAAATTTAGTATCATTTCTAGGAGCAAAAATGGATATTGCTCATCAAACACATTTGAAAATCACCTAAACTGGCATCTATAGATTTGCGCAAAGTAGGATTCAAAGGGCAAATTCTCGCTGTATTAAGAAGCGACCTGTAAAACAGTAGCTACCAAGATGTTATCCCAGATTTCTGCTCGCTTGTGCATCAAAAGCATTCAAAATGCTCATGAAACTCTTACTCTTCGATCATCTGCAGTAGATTTACCGTAATGCGTCTTTTCTCAAAACATTTTCATTTGTTCCTGTACCTGTATGAGTCTGGTGTTGTTTCCGAGGTTATGATTGGTAGGTGTATTTTGATCTTCTGTGTGTAAAATGCTTAGTCTATATACTGTGAATGAATTGCTGTACATCTATGCTATTGATGTGGAGAAATATAATTCTGTAAATGTTCTCTGTTGGTAAATATTGGACGTTGTAGTTGAATTACCTTCTATGGTGTTTTGCCACACACGTTTCAAGCTTCTTGTTCAGCCTGACGTTTCGACAATGATGAAAGATAATCTGAAGCCTAGTCGCTCAGTATTTGCTACTTTATAGCTCCCTCCACTTGCTTCGTTCGATTTCTTTAAGTGGACGGAGTCCACATGCCATGGCAACTGACCAGTCTTAGTTGGATTAGAGCTTAAAACCTGCGTGGCCAAATATCATAAAGATTCATCGTGTAAATATTTAATGTAGCATCTATCTGTTCTTATCCTAAAAATGAAACAAATAGCTTAATGAATCAAGGCATAGGATTCACCTTCGCTTCTCGCGTGTCACTTTCGATGTTTAGATCGTTGTTCGCAAAGGTACTCGTATAAACTTTGTTGATGATTTTATACATGTTAAAGGCAGCGTCCACCCAGAACTTGGTCCCCCATGTTTTCGTCATTCTGGGGCCTTTCCGTGGCCCTGATTACAGTTCCGAACTTCAAACTCTCTAAAATTCATAAAAAACCCGATTCTTGGGGACCCAGTCTTGAGGGCGCGGACGAGTTTCGAATTGCTCGTCCTCGTCGGCAGGCCAGCGGGAAGGAGCTGCAACTGCATGGGTGCAGTTGCATTGCAGTGTGCAGTGTGCAGCTTCTGCTCACTACCTTGTCAATACGTGTCGGGAGGCAGTATTGACAAGGTAGTGAGCAGTCCCTGGTGGGCGGAGTTTGATATCAGACTCCGCCCAGCCAGGAACTTTCAGGCCCCTTATCTCCATTCAGAGACAACGTTAGAAGGCCGACCAACGCAGATGCCCCTTTTCTGGGGCCTACATTCAGGACCGACACTAATCGGAGGAGGTTAGGTTTAGCCTGGACACTGCCTTTAATACGCAGTGCTAAAGATTTAGAGAATAATTTTCCTCTGTACCGAAAAATTATTTACATTTTTATGTTGGCTGGTGATTTGCAACGGAGCATCAAAATATCATATGAATGATTGGTTTTTCTCGCAGTCTCTTATCAACTAGACATTTCTCTAAAAGTATCATATCAGTTCGAAACAATTTTTATAAAAGTCTCAATTCCTGGTTTTAACTGAAAAGTAAACGTTTACGCCATGAGGAAGAATAAGTTATGAGGTGCCACAGTCACGATTGAGGACAAAATCTTTTTGAACCATTTTGCCAAATTTCGCACCGTATCCTCTGAATCTTTACTAAAAGTCCTAGAAATCCTCTTTATGATGATAATTTGCTGCAAGAAGTTGCCATATCAGCAAACTCATCCGAGCTACCTTCATTTCTCCACTTCACAACAAGTTGTTAATTTCCTGTTCTGAATCAAAAATGCCATTGAACAAGATGTGTATTTGTCCGTTGAATTTTGCCTTGTATCTTACGTACGAGCTTTTTGATTAGAAGAGTTGGTTACGGTTACTAGTCCCGCTCATGTTTATGAATCTGTAAATAAATAGTTTTTAATTGTAATAAAGCGTTTACCACATGTTTGTGCTTATCCCGACTGTTGTATACAATGTATCATATATATTTTCATTATTATTGTCTTCGGCTTGTGACGAACTTATCTCGTGTTGTGTAAAACCGTTTAGGTAATTAGAGAAACGATATTTGAGGCCATGCGGGGACGAATATTTCCAACTGCTAATGTTTCTACCGCAGGCAGCGTATCTTCGTACGTTCAGATCAATATCTACGATACGACAGTGGAAGAACTTCACAGTAAAGGAGTGGACATAGAGCAGATTCTTGTTGGTTTTGTTTCAAAATTCGGTACCTACATTTTAGTATCTGAAGTTGTAGCACCATTCTGGTTGCCGTTCTATCATAATGGATGTACCCATAATATCTACGAAACTGAGGAAAGTGACCAAAACTGGTAGTGGCCGGCCCAAAAGCTGCGGGATTGAATTTCCCACCCTTAGCGCCAAGGTTCGTTGCTGTGTTTTTTACTTAGAAAGCAATGGATAGAAGTTTGGTCGATTTTTTTAGAGACGTCAATCAGAGAGTAGTTGTGTTGATGTCGACGCATCTGAAAACCATAAAGAGATTTTGTGCGGATCATTGGTACAAAATCAGTCGGAAGAGGTGTAATATTCCTTTGTGGTTTTGACTACTACACAAATTTGCACTCTGCAATTGCAGGAGTTTATGGACTGCAGAGAAAATCTCAACGCAGTGTCTACTGGTGGCGGTAATTTATTTTGCCTATTAGGCCTGAGCAACAACTAATTGTTTCAGGCCCTCTTGCATCTACACTTGTCTTGAGCGACAATCATAACGACTTTTTCGACAATGGCATCTCAACAGTAAGGCCTTCAAGCGCAGTGTTGGGCATTAAATTTTCTTATTGAGAAGTAGAGAGGAGGGAGAAAGTGCAAATAAGTGGTTTTGGAGCAGTAAATGTTACGGACTCCTCTAGAAGTTTATGAACTGTGTTCACTTGATGCCATACTTTTTGTATCATCATCAGTTTAGGGGTATCGAGCAAGAGGAACGATAGCTGGTGGATGTCAAGAACTCGCGCATCTTTCACCGTCATTTTTGTCCATCAGCACGCATAAATCTAGAGCACTTCCTCCTATTACATTTTCACTTGGGAAATCGGCGGCGTTGCCGGATCCTCCAAAGGCCTGCCGCTTCTTCTCCAGGTGCGCCCTTCGGAGGCAATTATTGCTTCGCGCCTCTCTCGCACCTATCTCGCACACTCCTGCGATAGTTCCCCTCCGGACAATCGTCTTTCTCTCAGCATCAATTAGAAAGGTCACAGCTTGAACAACGGTCTTCCAATGCTAACAAAAGATGAAGAAGTGAAACTCCCAGTAATCAACAAATGGATGTGAAACATTCGGTCACCTTAGTCGAGGTGAATTAGGAAGGTTGTTATTTTTGTAGTCGGAAAAGTTACTGCACCAACCTTTTGTCAACGTCAGCAACATACAAAAAATGTGAAAACTAAGCTGGCAGGCAGGCAAATACATCCCGATGTGGCTATCGAGATGTGGTAGACAAGAAGAAGTAAAGGGTGACATGTTTTCCCACCAGCGGAGCCACGTCATGAGCATCTTTTTGGAAAGATACAACTTCAAAAACGCATTGTACATCATTTTTTGGCAGTTCGTTGGGCCACCTGTACCTAATTTTGTCCTTATGGGAACCGATGCTTCAAATGGGTATGTGATTCAGCAGGATCATAATCACGGAAGAAATTCCTTTATAGTTGATTCCTCTCTTACATGCCATGTTTCGGCAAAACTTCCATCTGGAAAAAGTTCTGAGCTTCTCTTATTGCCAGATTGCACTCTGAGCTACAAAATAATTTCCACAAAAAGGATGCAGCTTCGATTAAAATACTTTTTAACTATCGTACATTTAGTCTGATGTCATCCGTACTTTTTCGACTGTTTTCTGACCATGCTATTGTCCACATACCTTTTCTTTCTGAGCCACTCCCATAAAATGCGAAAAAGCCCATACTTCCTTTGGAGAACTGCTTCGCAGATACAAAAGACACCATTTCGAGCTCTATACTATTGGTATGCAAACTTCCAAATTGTCCTTCGACTAAGAAGGGAAGCGTCATTAGTCGAAGTGGCCTTTCCAGATGAGTCCCACACTGCTTTGAAGAGCATTAAGCGGTGATGCCAAGTCTGCCTTCCAAATCTGCCAAGCGCCTCTGGCCGCCGAGTTATTACCATTTTTTGAAACGAAAAATGAATGCAGAATTTAGGTAAAATCGATTGTTACAGTCTTTTCAGTGCTCAGATAAATCAATGTTAAGTGTTAGCATATTAGACAAAATGTATCCATTGCATAAACGGCTCTGATACTTGATACTGGACCATTTGAGTAAATTTGGGTGATTTTGTTCCAGTTTTGCGTTCAATTTTTTGACCTGGAAAACGCCCATAACTCGGTGTCCAAAGGCGCTTGGCAGATTTGGAAGGCAGATTTGGAATCATCGCTTAATGCTCTTCAAAGCAGTATGGGTCTCATCTGGAAAGGCCACTTCGACTAATGACGCTTCCCTTGTAAGTTACTTCCTTGGCAAGAGGCACTTTCCTTGTCAGCCTACTTTTATTGTTATCAGTTTCCACAGCTTTTTCTTTTTCTTGTTATCATTGAAAAATCGTTGTTCAAGCGATGACCTTTCTAATTAATGCTAGGAGAAAGAAGACGATTGTCCGAAGGGGAACTATCGCAGGAATGTGCGAGACAAGTGCGACACAAGCGCGAGGTAGGCGCGAAGGGATTATTGCCTCCCAGGGGCGCGCCTGGAGAAGAAGCGGCGGGTCTTTGGAGGATCCTGCACGCCCTCCTGGGAAATCGGCGCAATTTGAGGCAAATGTTGCATTGGCAGCAGCGGCTGGCAATTGCTATATTCCTCTTGCACCACACCCTCAGTTTAGAGTTATCGAAAAATCAGGTTATCTGTAGGGAAGGCCCTTATATTTTCTAGTTTTCTGCTCATGAATGGCCAATTCCTTTAGGTTGTCCCCAACGCCTCTTTCAATGAGCCTTCGGCAAAACCCCTCGAACCATGTGTTTATGCCGATATGGACAACTGGCGGGAATCTTTAACTGTTGGAGGAGAACCACATTCGAATGGAGTTGTCAGTGAATTTGAGAAGGAAAACTAACATTCATGAGGCACGGAATTTAGACTGCCAAGGAAGCCAACAAGTTACATGAAGGATCTCAGCGGGGCGCAGTTCTGAACACACCAATTTACTCTTCCTTGAAAGGAGCTACTGAAGGGTCTTCTCTCCATGCTGCACTTCTTAGGAATCCCTCAGAGCCAGAGGATGTTGCAATCCAAAGAAATCCGAAAGTGATTGACCTACCTAAGGTACTCTTCTTCATTTCAGAGAAGTACTGGAGTAACAAAAGGTTTTGATCTCCTTACCATACATTTTTCACAGGCTTCAACCGAGGCTGCAGCTAACGGGAAAGTGACGAGCAGTGCTATCACTGACACTAGCTCTCACGCAAAATCGGTTCCCTCGCCAACAAATGCAAAAATCCCGATTACGAAGAAGGGGACGATTCCAACATGATTGTACTTCAGTGGTGATATCCATCGTCACACTTGATACGACAAACATCTTTTAGGAGTGTTCAGAAACCCAACACACTACAGAACATAGTGCAACAGCTAGAAGCAAGTTGTTTGAAAAGGAACGAGCAGTTCAGTGCCAGATTCCCGTAAATAGCTTTCCTCATAAATTTTATTTTTCTCACATTATTTTGAAAATTAACCATCTAGATGTGTCACAAAACCCTGCTCTACCGTCGAAGGTACGGTAAAAGTCGTCTGCTTGAACATGTTCGAACACTTTGGGAAAGACCAGTGAAGAAGTGCAAATTGTGCGACTTCAAAGCTTCGTCAGCTAGGAAGGTACAGTACGTGTTTCCCACAAAATATCAAGATTTCGCTTTTCTGATAAAGCCATTGTATAAGTCTCTAGGGGTACGAGCGAGTTATCGAGGGACAGGAACTCTCAGGGCTACATGCATGATCATAAGCGCGCTGTTCAGAAGAAAAGCTTAGTAAAGCTCCAGAGATCTGGATTTTACTTTCTTTCCATTTTTAAGTATTTCTACTTCTTTTACTAGAATGGAAATGTTGTTGTGCTGATTATCTAACATGAGCTAAACATCCTCAGCTTTGGTTGTTTATTGATGACTAGCTAGAGAACCAGGTTCCGCCTGGACGGCCCTGTTAATAATATTTCCGTAACCAGCATGCTCGCTTAACCCCCTGTGCCAACTCCCAGCCTCTTGGGTTAAATCTTGCAGAAAATCGATAAAATCATTATCGGTCAGTGACGAAAAGTAGCCTGCGACACCCCCGCCCCTAAGTGTGTGGTTACTAAGGTTGGTCCGGATCGGTTCAGGATGGAATTTTTTATCCGGAACATAATATACACATCATTCAGCTCTATCTATACAGACAATTTGATGTTCCACCGATAAGTTGACCGTATATAAAGTGTTGCTGCCGTTTTGACCTCTCGCTTGGGTTACGTTGACTGTACAACATGAATATGTTTAGCAGCTTTAACGAAATAATGACTTTGGAGAAAGGACCGTGGTTTGTGGATTACACAAAGGATTATACAAAGAATTTTCAGGAAAGATGGAGAACGTGGCATTAATACACTTCTGTTCTGTATGTCCACACTAAAAGGCAGCGGAAATATTAGGTTGTTGCATAAGTTCCGTCCGATTTTTTTGTTTGCCTTATGTTTGAGGCAGCTGTTCTAAGAGAATTTCATCTCTAATGCGGTATTGTTAGTATCATTAAAAAATGCTCTTGCGCTTTCTAATAATAAGAAAGATAGTTTTTTAATTTGTTACTCCGTTTCGTCCCTTTCCTTAGACGGAGTTTTGAGATCTAGACCCTCTCCGGGACTCTTCAGTAAGGAGAGAGGGTCTAGTTTTATTTTCCAAAGAAATTATTTTGAAAAAATTGTAAAACTCAACTTATATTCCGATTGCCGTCCAATTCTTCTTTTCTGTCGTGTGATCTTCTGTGCTGCAAAGTAAGAATGGACTTGTCTTGACTTGTTTATTTTCATTGTATTATCATTTGTGTTGAATATATCATTCATACTTCGTTTCATATATATCGGTTGATACAATTTATGTTTATATTTTATAATATATTTTTTTGACTTAGTTTCTTAAATTCATCACTCATATTATTATTGAATTATATACTCATATTATTATTGAATTCATTGTATTTATATAGTATGAATGGATTTCTATTTAAGCATTTGAAAATTGATGATGAAATTATATTTATGTCGTACTCGTTTTTAAGTAGTATATCTCTGAGTTGTGAGATCATCAATCTTATATATAAAGCTGAATGTCTGTCTGTATGTCTGTACGTATGTGCGGAATAGAAATTTTTTATTTCAGAACCGATTTGGACCAAACTTGGCACACATATACTTCGAGGCAGGGAGCGTGTCATAGGCTACTTTTCGTTATCGATCGATATCGCTTTTATCGATTTTTTGCAAAATTTGAGCTACGGGGCTGGGAGTTGGCACAGGGGGGTAATCGAGCATGCTGATTACGAATACAGTGCTGGCCAAAATTATAGGTCCACTCTAAAAAATGCCATAACTCACTCTGTTGTGAATGAAATTTCCCAAAATTTGGTAGGGACGTGTGTTTACCAGCCTACTATCAGTCTTCAAAACGGTTCTCGTTTTCGTTTGATTATTCAAGAAAAAATTAGAAATTTTGAAAAAAGCAGGCTTGAAGGCTGGCCAAAATTATAGGTCCACCTGGAGTTTTTACTGATTAAAGTACTTCTTAGCTCCCGAATTTTTTTAGGTAGGCACACATCCAAAAACGTTAAACAGCTGCATTGGTCAAGCTGTGACATACCTCCAAAAAGAGCTGATTGTCTGCTTTTTTGCCTTGAAGACGCACTCACATGTATTTCGCTCCACAAACCTGCGTTGAGTAAGAAATTCTGCAGTTTCTCAGCTGGATCGGAAGGGACGGGGTTTCATTTATCTTCTGGATGCTTTTTGACGTGAGCGTTGAGGAAAAAATCCGAGTTTTTGCTGCTGAAGCAAATCTGACATTGACAGTACTGCAATCCTGAGCTCAAATTTCTGCCTTCAAACTTCTTTTACAATGTTCTCAGAAGCATTGAGTAAAGTTAAGGCATTGTTTCTATGAAGGGGAGTCCGTATACCATAGTTACAACTTTCTAGAGATCCTTGCATTCGAGTATAATTACTGAAATCACTCTGCGGAAACTGATTACGACAAGCACCAAAACTACTTGTGGCTCCGACCAAAATTTTCAGAAGAATCACGTGCTAACATACACTACAAGCTGTGCCCACTATCTAGTAAATAATTACTGTCAAAAATCTAAGTGAGGTAGCACTTGGAAAGCTATTTTGGATCGCGTAACACCATTATTACGTTGCACACACAACTCATGTTTCGAAAAAGAAGCAAGGCAGCTTTGTGGACACTTGCGAGTATGGCGACAGATTTATTCTTGTGTAAAAAATGCTTCTACAATATCTTGAGGTTATAATGACAATGCATAAAGGGTTTTAGGGCAGAAACTGAGGCTTACCCTGCCGATTAAGCCGATGTCAGATTTGCTTCAGCAGCAAAAAGTCGGATTTTTTCCTCAATGCTCACGTCAAAAAACATCCAGAAGGTAGATGAAACTCCGTCCTTTCCGATCCGGCTGAGAAACTGCAGAATTTCTTACTCAACGCAGATTTGTGGAGCGAAATACATATGAGTGCATCTTCAATGCAAAAAAGCAGATAATCAGTTCTTTTTGGAGGTATGACCAGGGTAAAGCGGGGGGTGCGGCACTCGACCGTCGGATACGACCCCCCCCCCCCTGATTGCTGTCTTAATAAGACCCCCCCCCCCTCCTAAACTATACACTTAAGATAGTATTACCTGAAGGCTCTGTCAAACATAATGGACAACATATCCATAATTAGCATGTCAAATACCCCCTGTAGACAAAGTGTGAGCGAATTCTGAAGATTCAAGATACTAGGCTACCTAAGTGAAATGGTCAAATTCCAACATGGTTAACTTTGTTTTAAAGGTGAATTAGCTATCCGTTTTTGCACTCAAGACAAAGCACTACTCCTTCTTTGTCCACCTCAGGAATCCCGCTTCAGAAGACCTCCAAACTGTGGAATTAGAAGCCAACCAAAATCTCATTTTTCCCATTTTTCGCTTTTGATGGCTGTGCTTTCACCAAATATTACTCAGAGCTAAGAAGACGAATCAGGCTCAAAACATCCCTATGGAATCTACGAGGTTTAGGCTATCGATTCATATAAATATTGTCCGCTAAAAATGTTTTTTTGATATAGTTAATGGCCTGCGGCACCCCTGCGGCACCCCTGCGGCAGCCGCAGGTTTTGAGGGGGGGTGCCGCAGGCCATTAACTATATCAAAAAAACATTTTTAGCGGACAATATTTATATGAATCGATAGCCTAAACCTCGTAGATTCCATAGGGATGTTTTGAGCCTGATTCGTCTTCTTAGCTCTGAGTAATATTTGGTGAAAGCACAGCCATCAAAAGCGAAAAATGGGAAAAATGAGATTTTGGTTGGCTTCTAATTCCACAGTTTGGAGGTCTTCTGAAGCGGGATTCCTGAGGTGGACAAAGAAGGAGTAGTGCTTTGTCTTGAGTGCAAAAACGGATAGCTAATTCATCTTTAAAACAAAGTTAACCATGTTGGAATTTGACCATTTCACTTAGGTAGCCTAGTATCTTGAATCTTCAGAATTCGCTCACACTTTGTCTACAGGGGTTAATTGACGTGCTAATTATGGATATGATACGAATATCATGTTATCGCTATAATCAGATCACCTAACTACGACCCCCTCCCCTTTTGACTCCTCAATACGACCCCCCCTCTGCGGCGTGCCGCACCCCCCGCTTTACCCTGGGTATGACACAGCTTGACCAATGCAGCTGTTTAACGTTTTTGGATGTGTGCCTACCTAAAAAAATTCGGGAGCTAAGAAGTGCTTTAATCAGTAAAAACTCCACGTGGACCTATAATTTTGGCCAGCCTTCAAGCCTGCTTTTTTCAAAATTTCTAATTTTTTCTTGAATAATCAAACAAAAACGAGAACCGTTTTGAAGACTAATAGTAGGCTGGTAAACACACATCTCTACCAAATTTTGGAAAATTTCATGCACAACAGAGTGAGTTATGGCATTTTTTAGAGTGGACCTATAATTTTGGCCAGCACTGTATAATAATGACAGGGCCGGGCGGAGCCGGGTTTGCCAGCTAGTTTTCAATAAATTTCTTAGTGTAAGGAGATTTCAGGCCTAAAATCTCCAAGTGGCCGAGATACGTTCTCACCCTAGAAATATGTTCTTGCGAGAAATTCTCCACAATGTGCCCTTCAGGTCAAGTTTTTTAATTGGTTGCGGAATAAGGGTGTAATAGGCTAGCATACGCATAAGTTCAGTTTCATGAAAAAAACGTCTTGCCAGTAAAACTTATTGTCAAACATCAATTTTCTGTATAGATGCTTTACAAGCTATAACTTTCTGTGAATAGAAGTTGTTGTGTCCTTGACTCCGGACATTTCGATTCTTCGTCCTGAGGCAGGCACAGAGGAAACAAATATATTTATTATAGAATAATAGAAGACAATAGAAAATGAGAGGCAAAGTAGTGAACGAATGAACTGACAATGGCTAACAGCGGGGGCCTTTTATAGCGCTCAATTCCCTCGCATTGAGGTCGCAGGCGGCTCAGCGAGGGCAGATCATACGAGAAAACAATTGATCAGACACTAATACAACAGAAGTAATCGACGACTTCAAAGTTGGATATGCTAGCGTAAAGCAAGGGCTAGCAGAGACCATCCTAATTTTTTTCGGCGCTCACGCCAACTGTAAAATTTTCGTAATTTGTAAATAGGCATGCACACATGAAGCGAGGACAAAAAGTGGCCATTTTTTTGTTCGGTCAAAAAATCTCTCGGCAACGCAGACCTTATGGGCTCTTTTATGGTGCAAAATAATCTACAAAAAATTCTCTATCTATCCATTGTTAGACAAGATGCCTATCAATTCTCATAAGGGAGTACTGCCATGTCAAATAAGAAAGGTTTGAAAAACGCTGTAAAGTTTTTGAGTTCTTGCTTCTTGTTTAACACGGATTTCCACAGGTTTCATTATGTGTCTGATAGCCAAGGAATTGCTCAACAAATAGAAACTATGATCTTGGGAAAAAGCTGACTTTGAAAGAGCTTATGACGTTTTGAAGTCAAAAATTTCAAATCGGACAGAACTTATGCAACAACCTAATATTTGAGGGTGGATAGACAGCACCAGATCACAGGAGCTTTGGGTACGATCTTTTGCAGCGTCCAAGCAAATCTAGGATATCAAGGAGCTCTTGCATCGTGAACATCAATGACACTTAGACTTTACCAACATAACCGCATTAACCCAGTGTAATCCAGATTTCGATTCATTAGTACCGGGTAAAGGAACGAACTCCGCCTTTTTGGGCCGCCTCCGCAGACTACTGTTCCTCGCACAACATGCTACAGCCAGTTCTCCGTGGAGTCGCCCCAAAATGGCGGAGTTCGTTCCCTTACCCAATATCCATGTAGGTTCACTTTTTGTTCTAGGTAATCTATCATCACAAGAACACACATCCAAATCAACCTTACTCGGGAGTTCTTTCGACGGAGTGAGCTGCTCATTTGACCTCCAGTTCCAATTTTTAGACTATAAGTTTAGGTCTAAGGAGGATTTGGACGATCTACTGAAGTTGTGGCAACAATGTTTTCCAGGTGTGCAAATAGCTTTTGCTAAAAGTCTACTTTCTTCTGCACGAGGTTCATGTTGAGTTGAGTTCATTTTTATGCCACTTTGATTTGTACACTAATAGTTTACATTGTTCGCGTGACTGACAATGGTCAAATCTGCCATTCCCTCTACCTGAGTAAGATTAGCTTTTTGAGGAACTTTGCTACCCTAATTTCACGCGCACAAGGCGCGGGGTGTCCTAGCTTTCATCGAGCTGCTCAGCCGCCCCAACGTGTTTTGAGAAGCGATCCTTATGCCGCACGATTCGTCAGGCAAAACGCAGCACGGTATGGGGTTCCTTTGGTTGCGAAGTCCTTTGCCGTGTTCGGTCTGGTCGATGAAAGCTAGGACCACCCCGCGCCTTGTACGCGTGAAATTAGGGTAAATTACTGGACTTGTGAGGCATAGCATACTAAGAATCTAATGGCTGCCTTCCTACTGTAATTTGCAATAATGGGCAACGAAATGAGGAGAATCTATTTCTACTTTAAATAAGTGAATAATTCCAAAGGAAAACTGCATACCCTTTTTGGGTGTCATGTGATGGACATATCAAATAATAATCGATGACGAAATTGCAGTGGAACTTTGAGCTACAAGTTGGCGATATGCTGCTAACGATCATTAACTGAATGTAATGATATGTGCCGGGCCTTGACTGTTATCGTGAATGTGATTTCTTTCAATGCACTTCTTCGAATCTCTTCTCGAGTTTCCCGAATTACCTCCCGAGCACAATGTGTCGTTCGCGGCCTCCTAATTATGTCTGCCACTGCAAAAATCCAGAAAAGTTGATTAGTTGTGACTTCTCTTCCTACAGAAATTTTCTGCTTTTGACGAGATTCGAATGAGATCAGTTTCCTTTAAAACAAGAATATTGTTAGTAAGCAAGCTCTTTTACGCGTTGGTGCTTTGCCATTGCCACTTTGTACGAAACTCCAAATGCTGCCCGCTAGAAGTTAGCATAGCATCATATTATTTTTACACTTTTTACAGGTAATCTTTTATATACAGTGACCGCCAAATATTAGGTTGATTCATAATTAATGCACGTTTTCCTCACCTCTTCTTCCAAATGCTGGTATTTGATGTGTAAGTAATTCCCTCAAAATCTCTTTATTCCCTCTGAAAGAACGTTTTTTCTAGTTTCTCATTTGTCCTTCGCTTTTGTACATCTCCGTTCATTCCAAAATTCTGAGCCTTCAAATAAAAGAGACTAAATAACAAAATTTTGCTTTTCACTCTTTTTGCTCGGATCCATGAGGAATAGGCGGGTTAATTTTTAAAAATATGCATAAGGTTTAAGAGACTTTGTGCTACAAGATGCTATTTAAACAAAATTTTCCATGAATTCTGAGCCGAGAAATTCAAGTGCGAACTTTAATGATTGTCGCGGCCCTTCAGTACCATATAAAACTTTGAAGCAAAAGGCGATTGCAGGTCTTTTGCACTATCCAGCAAGGGTAGACCTAGGTTCATTTGATGGTAGCAAAGCGCTAGGGTTTTCTCACTTTTTAGCGGAAAAAATAATATAGTTTCAAAAATGACCGATTTTTGAACCCTCCAAAATGCCAGAAAAAAGTGAGTACTTTCAACTTTTCCGCTAAATTTTCTTTCAAAAGTTTTCTGTAATATCCAAGCTTGGTATCACTGCTCAAGAGACCCTTGACTACCCGAGGAGAGAAATCTGCTTTATCCTACTTCATTTCAACATAAGTTATGCTCTCTCAAAGTACTGTAGGGGCTTCCAAAAAAAGTTGTTGGCAATTTTCAGGCCAGAAAATCTTTCTTATCATAGATACAATTATGCAAAAATATCTGTTGTATAGGCAATGATTTGATGGTTACAGTAGTTTTTATTGCGCCTAGGAATGTCCATTCAAGAAAGAATTATCTTGGTTCAAAATTGAACTACAGAAAACGTGCATTAATTATGAATCAGCCTAATAGTTGCGGACAAACCCCTCTCCCTTTTTCATCGCTCTTTTTGAGAGGGATAAACAAGGATGGAAAAATGTAATAATTGAATGAGGTGATAGAGCTCTTCAAGATCTATAATCTACACTTTAAGCTTTTTGAGAAACACGTGTTCTAAAAATTTTGAGAATCCTTTTCTGAAAAAAGTCGGAAAATGGCCGCGTCACAATGTCGCGGCAATAATTCTTCGAACGCAAAAATTTTCCTTTAAGTCCTATCTTGAAGCGGAAACACAGGTTATCCGGAAGTGTAAGCATACTACTATACAGAGCTCATCAAGAACTACACACTGGTTATGGTTGCTTCCCCAAAAAACGCAAACCTGAGTTTTATTTTGCTTTTTTCAAAAAACAACTTCTAATTTTCTTTATCAAGCCAAATTTCTTCACACGGAAACCTGTTCAAGACATCCTAGCAAAGCCGTCTGGTTAAAATAGATGCTCTTTGCCATCCTCTATGCATGAGGCATGTGCTGATGAGTTTCTTTGCTGAAAATGGCCCCTGGCAGTGCTTGCACATGATCCCACCTGCACCTCACCACTGACGTGTATCGCTTTGCAGGCTTGTAACTCGGCATACAGTCAATATCTGAGCATGCAATTAGGCTCATTCGAAAGAACGAGACTTCCTCTATACGAAGATATGCAAATGAGTTGAGTTTGAGAAACCTTATAGATTTGGCGGATGGGGTAGTAGAGGGCAGCTGCAGTTGTGGTCTAAGCACTTTTCAGCTAAAGTTGAAGAGAGCTCGTTTCGCTAACAGTTTCATCCTGGAGGTTCAAAACTGTCAATTTTCTTGTAATAGACCCATTTCGAAGCTCTAAGAACTGTTCTGGTGTTCATAAGAGCTTTCACTCCAAACACCTCTGAGGCTGCGCTTTAGCACCCCATCCGTCAAATCTCTGAAATTTCTCAAACTCAACTCGTTTGCATGTCATCATATAGAGGAAGTCTCGTTCTTTCGAATGAGCCTAATTGCAGACTCTTATACTGTCTGACGGCCGAGTTACAAGCCTGCAAAGCGGTACAAGTCAACGGTGAGGTGCAGGTGGGCTCATGTGCAAGCACTGCCAAGGGCCATTTTCAGCAAAGAAACTCATCAGCACATATCCGATGCATAAAGGATGGCAAAGAGCATCTATTTTATTCAGACGGCTTTGTTGGGATGTCTTGAACAGGTTTCCGTGTGAAGAAATTTGGCTTGATAGAGGAAATTAGAAGTTATTTTTTGAAAAAAGCAAAATAAAACTCAAGCTTGCGTTTTTTGGGGAAGCAACCATAACCAGTGTGTAGTTCTTGACGAGCTCTGAATAGTAGTATGCTTACCCTTCCGGATAACCTGTGTTTCCGCAGATAGGACTTAAAGGAAAATTTTTGCGTTCGAAGAATTATTGTCCGCGACATTGTGACGCGGCCATTTTCGGACTTTTCTTAGAAAAGGATTCTCAAAATTTTTAGAACACATGTTTCTCAAAAAGCTCAAAGTGTAGAGTAGATCTTGAAGGGCTCTATCACCTCATGCAATTGTTACATTTTTCATCCTTGATTTCCCTCTGAAAAAGAGCGATGAAAAAGGGAGAGGGGTTTGTCCGCAACTTTTTGGCGGTCACTGTATAGTACGATTTTAAGATAACGATTTGGGCGGGTGTTATTTAATCAATTATTTTTCTCTAATCTCGTGCTTTTTGTTTATGCATATCATCACATAATAACAGCTCGTCCCGACTCGTCCCGAATGTTTTGTCGTTTCATTTTTGAAGATTTGTAACTTGCCGCTATCTCAAAGATTTTGTTTCTATTAGGTTGTCCCGAAAATTTTGTGGGTTTTTCCATCGCTCACTAATACCATAGAACACCAATCCGCTTTTTGATTACGTCTACCACGTAAAATCACCGAAAATTTCAAAAAGCTGCTTTTTCTAAACAAATCAAACTTGGATGTGTTTCATAAATAATGTTTATTAGCAATCAAGTTTCAATTCGCAAAAATTCCAGAAGCTTTCATGTTTTTGCCGCAGTTGCGTGTTCCATGGTTTTGCCAGAAATCGAGACCTCCGAAAAAATAATTCTTTGAAGCTAGAAACAGCAACTTAGGAGAATCTAAAAATATTGCCGTATAGCCCGAGAATTGTTCTATTTGTGCCATGCTTAGTCCTTTCCGAAACTTTTGAATAAAATTTTTAAAAATTAGCCTAAATTTGAGCAGATGAAAATGACGAGTGAAGATTTGTGGCAATTATCAAAAAACCATACAGGATCTTGGCTCATAAATGTAACCATAAGAAAGAGAAGGAAAAGCTGCATCGAATGCATGTTAAAACTCATTCAGGGCTTTATTGTGCGTGGTTTTATAGTGGTTTGAAAAAACCGACAAAACTTTCGGGACAACCTAATATTTTACAATAAGGCTTGGCTTCATGACAATGCGACTGCAGATCAGATTATGGAAGAAGAGTAACCCTCAAGTCTGAATTTCAGGTCGCCAAAAGTATGGAATGGCAGAAAATTTCGAAATTGCAAAATAACTTTTATGATCTGCTCTTTCCAAAAAACAATTCATCCTGATCCAAAGTCATTCTGAAATGTTGCGATTTTCGAAAAAAAAAATTTATGACGGCGTCTCCCATTGTACACTCGAAGTGCTATATTAGGTTGTTGCAAAAGTTCTGTCGTTTCATTTTCAAAAATTTGTAACTCCGCGAAATTTCAACGGATTTGCTTGCTTGTAATTTTATTAGAAAGAATAAGTCTTTCGCTTTCAAATGCTGTTCCGTGGAGCTTCTGTTTCATACTGGGTGCGGAGAAAAAATGGAAAACTAAGACCATATAAGCTTTGACCATTTTAAGTTAGGTCACCAAAAATCTGAAATCCTCAGTACATATGTTTTTTGGCCTACCCATTGCATCTGTGAAAAGTTTGCGCTGTTTGGACGTCTCTGTGAGAAGTTATGAATATCGAGTTTACTATGGAAAACGCCAAAATTAATTAATTTGTCAATTTTCGCGAAAATCATAACTCCAAACAGCGCAAACTTTTCACAGATGCAAAGGGTAGGCCAAAAAACATATGTACTGAGGATTTCAGATTTTTCTGCAGCATTCCAGATTTTTGGTGACCTAACTTAAAATGGTCAAAGCTTATATGGTCTTAGTTTTCCATTTTTATCTCCGCACCCAGTATGAAACTGAAGCTCCACGGAACAGCATTTGAAAGAGAAAGACTTAATCTTTCTAATAAAATTACAAGCAAGCAACCGTTGAAATTTCGCGGAGTTACAAATTTTTGAAAATGAAACGACAGAACTTTTGCAACAACCTAATATTTTTCACTAGAAATGTCCAATCAACACAAATTTTTTGAGTTGAAAAGAACAATTTCTAGATGTTCGGTGCTAGCGGGCAACGTTTCAGATTTCTGGCGACCTAACTCAAAGTAATCCGAATTTGAGGTTTTCATCTTCTATTTTACCTCTCCAGTCAGTGGATAGTAATAGTTATCCAGGATAATATTACAGAGCGTACGACTACATTCTCTAAAATAAAGTCGCAAACCATCACCAGACTGAACTCCGATTTGCGCTCTTTACTATGTTCGTTCCTGTAGCATGGCATACCGACAAAGCGAAGATAATCGTTTATCACCTGCAAATTAAACTGCATATGATTAATCGCTTCAATCTATCCATGTTTCTTTAGGTACCTCGGAGTACAAATATATCGGTGGACCACTTCCCAGCACTCGTAAAAGTATATGCCAATAGTATTGTCATTGCATTTGTAGACTGTTCATGGTGTGGTGGTGTGGACAACTTGAACATCTCAACTCTGTTCTGCTCTCTTTTTATGCTGCGCTAGTGCAGAGATAGTTGAAAATAACTCTGAGGAATGTTTCGTTTTTGTAAGGTAAATTTTTCAGGATCAAGAGTGGATCTTGCTCACCAAACACAGTTAAAAATCACTTAGTGATTTCGCTAAACTTGTGCATAGTAGAATAATATGGGACAATATTCTACATCAAGAATTCAATAGGGGAAACCGTAGTCTTTAATAACTTATCTCATCAGATTTCTGCTCGCTTGTACATGGAACCATTCAAAATGCTCATGATATCCGCTCACGCTTTCTTTAGTACGGTTGTTTCACCGTAAAATGTCTTTTCACCAATCATTATTCGTTCTTGCACTTATGTAAGCCTGGTTTCGTATCTGCCATACCTTCGATACATAGAGCCACATACTCTGGTAACCTTCGCTTTAAGGGCTATGAAGGAGACACAACCTTCACCTGGAAAAAAAAGAAGTCATCCGGGGCTTCGCCCCGGATGTTATTATCCCAACCATATTGGAATGATTGTTAATGAAGCAAATACAGGAAAGAATATCTGAAGAATATTTTAGCAAAACCGAGAAATTGCTTTTTTAAAGCCTTTTTTACGCTGAAAAGAGAATTTCTGTAAAAGTTTCCTCAGAATTTAAGACAACTTTCTCAGTGGGCCTCTTACTTGACTAAAATTGAGTTATAGAAATTTGAGAAAGCTGTTGGAGTTGAATTAAAACAAGAGACTGCGCTTAAATGTGCGCAGAGAGCCGCGCACGAAAATGCTGGTCTATCTCGTTAGTGAGTGACTTTTAAAGCTTGGGACGTTGTCTGTTCTCCTCGTCGTGTCATGACGGTCAGAATGTTATATAATGTTGCAGGGTTTCGTTGAGACCCCGCGGAGATCTAGGACCAGAGCCAAATGCCCCGTCGGTTCTGGTCTGGCTCCGCTGCTCGTCTGCGTCTCCGCGCGCTGCGCGCTACCTCGCTACCCGAAACGCGGGGCGCGGGGCATTTGGCTCTGGTACCCTTCTCTCCGCTGTTTCGAACCCAACTTTGACAAGCTATATATCATTTTGAAGCTCTTGATCTCTACTTTTACGCTGACAACGTCCCAAAATCATATTTTTTGATTTGATCGAGAAATTTGGCAAAAACCTTGTTTTCGAAAATTTCTTGTTTTTCTTTCAGTTTACTTCTTTTTGCGCAGTTTTTTCGTGGATTCTATAGATCTTGCTTCTGTTCATAATGCAAACAACCACCCAGCTCTTATCTCTTCGATTATAACGGAATTTTTCGTGGAAGACCGTAAAAAGTACGTTTTTCTTTACTTTATTCTTTTCAGTGCTTTCGCAGCGATTTTCCTCCCAGCTTGGACGATATGGCCCAGAATAATGAGCGCAACAATTCAGACAACGTCCCAGGAAACAGGAATGTCAATGCGGGGAAAAATACTAAAGGACGCATCAAAAATCAAAACCCCGTATTGCGCATTGCTGGTCCTGGAGCGAAAGCTTGCACCTTCAAAAGCCGCCAAATGAAAGATTTCAAATCTCATTGCAGCGTTTTTATCCAGTTATCAGCAGCTTCTTTTGCTTTATATCTGTTTCACGTCATTTTCTCTTCTCTAATCTTCTTTAAACAACCTTCACTATTTATGACGTCAGATGTTCAAACAACCTTCACTTTTGACGCCCTGTCTCTAGACTATCGAAGGTATGGTATCTGCCATATGGCTTTTCTTGTAAACATATTGATCCTAAATCTGTAGAATTTCTCTTTTTTTCAGTACACGTGACTGAATAGATCCTGTACATTATAGATGTGAATCCTGTAATTACTGCATGTGTAAAATCCACTGTTTTGGAGAATTTTGATTTACATACTGAACTGTGGCATAGGATTAATGTTACAATGTTTTGTTTATTTTGCTAAGGTTTTTTTTCTAAGTAGTTGGCGTTTACGGCTTGCACTTCGTTGTTTGATTATTAAATTGTTGTTTGCAATGGTGTCTGCTCCGTTATTTCTTGTCCCGTTTTTTCTTACATTAGGTCGGTCCAAGTTCCGTTTTTCAGGCCCATCCTCAGATCGTTCGCAGCAGTGTTGAACAAAGTAATCGGTGCAGAAAATCTGCCTTTTTTGGGGATGATGTTCATGTTTCGAGTCCTTCAATGGTCGCTCGAATAACTGTCAGAATTTTCAACCCATAGTTATCGCCTACCCTGATTTTGGCTATAGTTCAAAATTTCCATTCCAGACTTTTGGAAGAGCTCAATAACGGTTAGACAGAGTCAACAAGTTGCAATACAGTAAATTATCTGGACTTTCCTAACTGGGTTTTCATAACGTTTTGATGATTTATCCGAAAGTCTTCATTTTTTCGAAGTTATGAAATATGCAAACGCTTCAAACACTAATGAGTGATCAGAATTTGAAACTTCCAAGAGTCGATTATGATTGAACACTAATATTACAAGCAAATGAGCGTTTACTGCTTTGAATGATCAGACTTCGCATCTCGTGGTATGGCCTAAGGCTCAAAATTCACAATTATGGTGATTTTATCTTCGAAGGCTTACGAGTCAGTAAGGAAAGCCATTATTCGGAAAGAGGAGAGAAAGCTGCATTTAATGATACCTGATTGCTTGCTGCTTGATGTTCTTTTAAGTTTGGAATGACCAAATGTGGAATTCGGTAACATCAAAAAATTAATCTTACAATTAGAAATGTTGAAAGGTAACCAGAAACACTCATACCAGATTGAATAAAAACGCCTAAGTCTTTGACAGTGGAACAGTTTCTCAGTTAGCTTCCTTATCTCATAAACTGGAATTTGCAGGTCACCAAAATGCATGACAAAACTGTTTTTTTTAAGTTGGATAGGATTGCCTAAACAAGCAGTCCAGCGCATCATTATCTTTGGAGACGCTGTCATTGCACGTCTGACCTGCTTTTTTATTGGATCCAAAATTTTTTATATCGATTGCATACATTAGAACTGCAATATCTCTGATGTTTCCTGATGTTTTTCGTTTGGAAGCTCGGCAGTATATAGGCGCGACACGCATGCACCTCCCGGCAATTGCATTTCCTTGGTCGTAATCCCTGCTCGACTGGTCTTTCTGCTCAGGTATGAAAGGTACTCACTGGAAATGACTAAGCTGAGCGTTGAGTTGATGCCTTTTTGTACAAGAGTGTTATGCTGCTCTGGACGCAAAGACCGCAGCCAAATCCGTCTTCCCGATTTTATAAATGAACCTTAGATCAGTAAAAGCAAAGGAGAAAACACTGCACCCTGAGGGACACCCTTAGGCAGCTAAGCTGTTTCAAGGACTGGTGTCCTACGCGAACCGTCATTCCTCTATTGTCAAACACGACTTCAGCCATTTCAAGAGACTTTCGCTCGAACTAAAGAATCTCTAGTTTTGACAAAAGTATCATGTGATTCACATTGTCGAACACCTTCGACAGATCCATGTAAATGATATTAAGGGAATTGCCTCTGTTAAGCGCCAAATTGCAATCGAAAGCGGAGTCAGCGAAATTCGTTATTTTAGACAAAATACCACCGTAAAACCGTGATGATTGGCGGAAATCAAAGCCAAAATTCTTACAAGGAAGGTCCAATTAGTCGAAGTGACTTTCCCAAATGAGTCTTTGACCACTTTGAAGAGCATTAAACAATGATTCCAAATCTGATTTCATTACTTCCCAAGCCTTTCTGCATGCCGAGTTATGATTGTTTTTGATGCGAAAAATGAACGCGTAATCTAGGTTCAAATGTTACGGTCTTTTCAGCGCTCAATAAAGTAGCGTTATTCTATGCTCTTTGAAGTCGTATCAGTTTCATGAGAAAAGGCCACTTCAACCCGGACCTCCTTTATTGGTGTACTTCAATGTGGAAAATCTGAAATCGCGCAGAAATCGCATCCCCACAGAACTCTATAGATTTACGACAATCTCCACTGAAGGACTTACGCTCCAACAAGCCATTACTTCAATGAATGTGACGTTTCCAATAACACGGACACTCACTCCAACTGATCTCCAAACACTCATTATGATGCCAACATTTTGATGGTAAATCGATTCTAGCTCGTTACCTCCTATTTCACAGTAACACATTCGTTTCGCCTAGATAAATGAATTCGTGAGAGCAACCTGTTCAGAATTTTGGAAACTGGAGAAAGACATTTTCATCTTATATATAAAGCTGAGTGTCTGTTTGTCTGTCTGTCTGTCTGTATGTATGTATGTATATACGTATGTTCCGAATAGAAAATTCCATTTCTGAACCGATCGGGACCAAACTTAGCACACATACACTTTCGGGCCCCGGCGGGTGTCATAGGCTACTTTTCGTCATCGATCGATATCGATTTTATCGATTTTTTGCAGAATTTGAGCTACGGGGCTGGGAGTAGGCACAGGGGGGTAATCGAGCATGCTGATCACCCCCGTGGGGGTGATCAGCATGCTCGATTACACCCCTCTGCCAAATTCATACAGAATGACACTATAGATTTACGACAATCTCCAATGAAGGGCTTACGCTTCAACAGGGCATTACTTATTGATGAATGTGACGTTTCCAGTAACAGGACAGTCACTCCAACTGATCTGCAGACACTCATCATGATGCAAACATTTTGATGGTTATCGATTCTAGCTCTTTACCTTCTATTTCATTGTAACGCATTCGTTTCACCCAGATAAATGAATTCGTCAGAGAAACTAGTTCAGAATTTTAGAGACTGGAAACAAAGACTTCTCATCTCTCATAAATATGTGATTTTGTTCCTCAACAGCGACTCGAGCAGCGTTTTGTTATAGACTTATTTGCCAAAAACGCCTCAGTCCAAAACAACATTTCAAGATCAGTACACAGCAAAAGCACGTTTTCTAGTAAGTTGCCCAGTCCCCAGTCTCAAAATTTGGAATGGGA